TAGGTAGGCTGCTAGAAACTGTATTCTTTCCATACAATTTTAAGGAATGGCTTTTTTTCTCTCCTCAGACTTTTAGAATTAAACCTCCTATGTGCATTACTAAAAATGATGTCGACTTTGCTGTGGAAGTATTTCATGCTGCTTTACAGAGACACATGGAAAGAACAGCTGCAAAATAGACTTGATCTGTTTCCTTACATGAGATGCACACAGAATCCCTGATACTTGCCACCCGGACTCGGCACTGATCTACATAGGATAAGAAAATCAGAGTCTGAAGATGAAATACTTGTTCAGTGTCATAAGACCACTGTGACAGATCCAGTGTTTAATAAAGAATATGCTCTAATCAGTTTTGTAAATATAGTTCAATTCTGTAGCGTTTGTGTGTATTAGCTGCACATCTATTCTAGCATTAGCGTAAAAAACCCTGATTGGATTAAATGGGTATCAGATGAAGAGGCAGACATAATATTCATCTATGAAAGTCATATCAAAATTGCTAATTTTTAGAAAGTGACAGGAAATAAAGTTGTTTTGAGGAAGTATACTGTTTGGACTTTGTAGCATCTGTAGTCCCCCGTGGGGGGCTGCACTGGAGTGTCTCTTGCCACCCTGGCTGCGTTCCTTTGTGCCACAGCATTTACTGCCAGGTCTTAAATATGTTTTCACAGAAGCACCACGTGCTTCCGAAGGGCTGAGTGGTGGTGTGTGGTGTTGCAGAGCTGGCTGGGACCAGCGCAAGGTAGTGCCGGACTGCCTTCCACCTCATTGCTGCCATTTGTACCCAATACATACAAGCATTTGTAAAACATACAAATGATAAAGTGGTTTTAATTAAACAAGAAAAAAAATTTAAGTCAAATTTTTTGACTTAAATTTGACTGAACAGGGTTCAGTCTGTGAGATTTCACTTACAAAAGCATAGTCAGTCTCTGGCTGAGAACCACCCTGAGCAGAACGTAAATGGAGGTTTCAAACAGAATTAAAACTGTTTACCCTTACTACAAGGATACACTGTAATAAGAGCATGAAAAAAAATTGTTTGCACAAAGCTGAAAAGTTTCTAATTACAGTAATTATTTTTATTATGGGGCTCTAGTCCAGTCATCATCATTTCCAAAATACGCTTTTCTTTTCCTCATGCTGCTTTTGGGATTGCACAGCAGGCCCATTACTCATTTAGCAAAGATGCAAACTCTTGAAATGTTTCTTTCTTACCTAATCACTTTTTTAATGTTTTAGTTCATTACTTCCTTCAGTTTCCAACAAAAAAAGGGTGTTGCAGACAGTCAACAAGTACTGTACATTTATCATTTTACTTTCATTCACATTTTAACATTTTAATAATTCCTTGACCCAATAAACATACCGTGTCAACTTCTGGGGAGAGTATTGGGCCATTTTGTGTGATGAGTTGAAATCTGAGAGGAACTTACTTAATACAAGATCAATGCTTCTGGGAAATTTCAGTCTAAGGGTTTCCTAAACAACATACTACAGCGCTTCCTGAGCACTGCCTTCTCCAACTGCATTGACAATTCCTGTGTAAAATCTACTCCAAAATCAGGTTTTTGTTATCCCACTTTTTTTTTCCCCCCCTTGTTTGTTTTTTTTTTAAGTACTATTCAAGATCAGGTAGATTATGCATTTAAACAAAGGTGCAATACCAATTCCCATGTTGTTTTTCATTAGAAATCACAACAAATTAATTTATTCATGTCACTCATTTATTTCTCCCTTCATTTATTCCACCACAACTCTTCCACTAGACTTCTTATCCCAACACCTGGAATGCAGGTAGATGTACAAAACCAACAGAATTCTCACAACTGATTTAAACAGCTTTGTCATCTTGCCTTGCTGTTTCCCTTCTCTCTGCTGGTAAATGCAATTCAGTAGTTTGAAAAGGCCCTTGGGGATGGCGCAAGAAAAGCCTATGTTTTTCCATATCTTGGTGATGTTTCATCTTTGATAGATGATGAAACAAGCACAAGACCTTCCACTGGCTACACTCACCCTGAGCTAAGCCCTCTCAACAGAAAAGCAGTAACACAAATGTTAAAATAATTTATTATTTCCTCTGTATGGGTACTTTATCTGTGAAAATTTCTACAGGAATGCAAGGTGAGTAGCTTTGATTTCCTACTTCCCCACCCGCACTGTGAAAGCTGCTGAGATGGTAGGTCAAATTCAGTCATTAAAGAAAGGCTGATAAACCAAAAGAAAGCATGGGTTCCTTCACAAGATAACATTCCTTTCGTTGCATCTTCCTTTTTTTTCCACAATTCGGACTTGCCTCCTCTGTTTAACTCCAAACACAGGCAACATGCACCTTTCAGTTTTGGGAGAGTTTTCATGTACAATTCTGAAGACTGTCACTGTAACAAAGTTCTATCTGTTTTTACGTTTCTCTTTTTTGTTTCTGGTGTTTACAGCTCCATTTACAGCTGGTGTTTGCGTTGCTTTTGCATGTCCTGTGGCTTTTAGGTGTTCAAACAGTTTATTTCGGGATGGAAATGCACAGTTACAGGTTACACAGTGGATGGGAACTTCATTCTACAATGAGGAAAAAAAAAAAAATGCTTCACATTCATATGGATGCAGTTTCCCTTATTCACATTTCATTGTCTAAGCTGTTCGTTTCTATCACAGATACTCCATTACTGATTAACAATTAAATATATATTAAAAAAAAAAAATCACGAGTATAACTTCTTGAAATTTCAAAGAGTATCAAGTAGAACCAAGAACAAGAATAGAAGCCATGCAAATCTAATTCAAGATAAAGAATGCTTTTGATCTCACCTGACTACACACACTTACTTACAATACCTTGGGCTCTGAGATTTAGTGAATTTAATATGTCTCAGCTGTAGTTATTACAAGATTTTGCTCTTTGTAGGAAGCATCAGTATTGGGAAAGATGCAAATGGTACTGCCTGTCACCTGCCTGATGACAACAGCTCTGTCTTCAGTTGTTTAATTTATTTGGTTTGAACTGCCTTGGACACAGAGCTTTAGCAACTCTCCTAGAACCGAGATTTAGTCCTGCTCTTCTCTGCGAGTACAAGATCTGATGTTCCAGTCTCCTCACTTCTAATAAAGTCACAGGGATAGAAATACCTGTGCTATTAAAAAATAAGCAAAGAACTGAAACAGAATTTGTGGACTCGAAGTGATCGAACAACCAACCTTGTTTGTAGTAATATGACCACCAGCTTTTAAGTAACGTAAATAATTTTGACATACCATTGTTGGCTGCTCTGAAGATGCCTTAGCAGACTTCCTTGCATCCTTGGCTTTTTTCCCTTTAGGCTTAGTACTGCTGCTAGACAAAGAGAAACCAAGATCAGTGCACAGGAACATCCAACGTTTACGAGCTTCCGATGGTTTTCATCATCAATACCTCCACTGCTTTCCCCTGTTCTTCCCTCACACAGAACAATGTAAGTGCTTCCACAAAAAGATAAAGCAATTTCATTTATATGATCAGTTGTTGATCTCAAGAATCAGCTAGATGATGAATCAGCAACTGGTAAGCGATGAGGCAGGGATCTGCAGTCAAATGCCATTTCCAAAGTATGTCACAACACTCCTTGTTGAGTATATTTATTCAACTCTGATTTAGCGGAGCAGCCCCTGTTCACATTGGTGGGTAAATTTAGACTTGTTTGACAGTATCCAACATGATGCAGAATGACACAGTGACTGCAATATTGCAAGTCAGCGCACCTTTTCGCTTCACTTGTTGCATCATTCACTTGGCAGACATCTTCTGTAGTGCTTGCGTCCTCTGACACAGCACATCTTTGGCCACCATTTACCAACTCCTCTGCTAAGCCACTGTCCTTGTCCACACCAGGCACCTCCTTTTGTTCATCTGTTTCTTCATCAGCACTTTTATCAAAAGAGTCCTCGTAAGTCTGTCCAAACAGAAGAAATGCAAGTTAACTACTTTAAGTTCATTAGTGATTATGTTTATAGTATTATATTCATTTACCTCAAACATGGGTGGGGAGAACAGAAAGCCATGGACCCTCTTAATTTTACTGTGTGTTTTCAGTGAGTTTGTTACAGGTAAAACCTTAGTTCTCCTGTTTTGAAAGATGAAGCCACCTGTGATGAAGGGAAGAAACACCAATAAAACAGCCTCTAAAACTACGGAAGAGGAGAATGAAGGTAGCTTTCAATTATACACAGGGCTCATCCTGTTCTGGCTACCATTTCACATTATAAATAATAGTTTTCCTTTTAACTCTGCAAAATGTTAATTATTTAGACTAAAGATTTCTGTGCCAGACACTTGCATTAGGTCACTTAAGCCAAAATCACTGAGCTGACTAAAGCTATATAGACACAGTGTATTTTCCCTCCATAACGTTAGAAACACTGGCAGCCTTTTCCATGTGCCATAAGACATAGACTCAGTGCATGCAGTTTGGCAAAAGGTCAACCCCTTAGCATGTCTGAAGATCAGCTCCCAAAAGCAGGATAATGCATCTGACTTTACACTACATTAGTGCAACTCTATCACCTCTAGTATCTTTTGCAGAGTCTCAGCTACCTGAAAAAACTTGGCTGATCTACCTTCAGCAAAAGAAAACAAAAACTGCAGTGATTCCCTGCACTCCACAGAGCGTGGTAGAGGTTGGAGGTTATGCTTCCAGAAGAATCTCTCTGCCCAAGATTCCAGCTCATGCGACCCAAGAGTGGCACCTACTGTCTGGGCTGTGGAAGACGCTGTGACCAAACTGATGGAAGAGAGGCACAGTGCATATATACAACCTATACAGTGAGAACGAGACCTGATTTCAAATCCAGGAGGCAAGAGTTGAACAGGAGCCTGATGGCCTGCATGCAAACAAGAAGGTCAAGCCAATACTGACTTGGACTATGCAATACCAGCCAAAGAGAAAGAAAAAAAAATCAGTTGCTTGAAAGTCTCAGGGAAGTTTTTTGAGGATGAGAGATAATGATGGTGTGGGAGACGGCAGAGAAGGTGAACACGTAATAGGTGACTAGGGGAGTTAGGTTGGGGGAAGACATAAGACCATCTTGGGAAAGGATGGAAGAAGCAGGACCTGGCACAGATGGCTCACCAGGACAAGGCTAGGATTGAGGTAGCAAGTAGAGTAGAGGCAAGATTTGCAAAGGATCAAGCTTGAGGAATGCAGACAGAGGAGTTTGCTTGCTATGGCACTCCTGCCACTCAACCCTGAAACAGCTTGCAGTTCTTGAATTTCACCCTGCCGCTATCAGCAGAGATCAGTCATATCATGCACAGACTCAGATCCTGGAGTACAACAGATTGGTGTTATTCATGTTTACAATTCAGGTGAAAAGTGGAATGGATGTGTTTGTTCTGACAACTACAGTGTCAGTCAGGTGCCAATAATGTGTTACTTTTGGGGTTTTTTCCCTAAGTTAGAGATTAATAAACAATACATTATACCAACTCTAGCAATCAAAGCAGAAAACAATCACCAAACAATTGTGCTGCTAATGCACTAAGGCCATTGCTGGTCTTTCTGATCAATTCCTTGCATTCTCCCCATCTGCTGCTTCTGTCTGTTTTCCTGTTGGCTTTTTAGAGCGAGCACCACATTTATTAGGATCTCAACAAACAGAACAAAGTGAGGTCTATGAGATTATTATCATAAAATATTATGATAGTGAGTGTAATAAAAATTATTTTGCAGTCAAAGAAGAATTAAGAATATCTGAAACTAGTCTTCAAGTTCTGTAGAATTTCAAGTTCTCCCTTATTTTTCAGGACAAAAAAAAAAGCCCAGTTAGGAGATAGAAAAACTGGGTTGTGAAGTTCCCTGAATATCATTATATGACTACATACCATCATTGTTTTCTGTTTCTTCCTCTGCTTCTTCGAGAGTCTGTAAATATAAGAATTTAAAATGATGTCTTTTCAAGGAAAAAGAAAAACAAATAAGTACAATTTCTAAAAAGGTACCAAGTCATACTTTTGCTTATCATCTTAACATGGTGTAGGAAGACAGTAGACACAAACAGAAAATTACTCATGCTTGAAGTGAAAACAACAGTTCTCCTAAACTACTCATTGTATTTAGTACAATGTTAATTCTGCTCAAACTGAACTTGGAAGACACTAATGAGATAGCTGGTATTATTCTTTGGCCATTCAAAAAATGGAAGTTGTGCAACTTACTTCATCAATCCTGGTTTTAAGTACACTCATTTTATATGTATGCCAGCATCCATACTGACAAAATGTACCATCTCAATGAACACTGGCCCTGTGGCAAGTTCCTCATTTGAAAAATAACAATCACTACTTTTCCTTAACATGTAAATTTAAGAAGCAGAGAAAATATGAGACTATTATCCTACAACATTTGAATCCAGTCATACTAACACATGCATTTTACTGGAACTCTGATACCAAGAAATACTTAAAATTGCACAATACTGTGAGTTCCAACACAACTATAAATCATCAGAAGCTCCCTCTGAGGGTCTCGTTAGTCATGATAAAATTAAAACCAATTTAAAGTACTTCTGCTTGGGCATGTCTTCTATTTCTTCCTCCTCTTTCGCATGTATTCCATTTGCATCATCCAAAGACACAGGAAATTTCCCTTCTTCTTCTTCCAGTTGCTGTCGTAACAGTGCTACCATCTCTCGATGCTTCTTTGATTTTTCATGATTCTTCATGCTGTGAAGACCAGCAGATCGTTACTGCAGGTAGCTCTGAGCAAACATTGTTATATTTACATATAAATTAATAACAGGCCCATTATCCATCACTACTAAGTATGGAAAATTCTGCCCTGACAATGTCTCTACTGGAAAGGTGACACTGACCATTATGTGAAGTTAAAAAGTCTTTAAAACGCATTTTTTAAAAAGTTAAAATCCAACACCCCCACCTCCAAATCCCCAACCACAAGCACTTACGCTTTCTCAGTTTTTAACAATTTGTCACAAGCAGGGCAGTACAGACCATCAACAAATTCAGCTTCTTCAGTTTCATCATTCAGTTTGTCTGAAGAGATCAGTGGGGATCAGAGAGACAAAGTCAGATGAGCGATTTTCGAGTAAGCCCCTCTTAAAACCCCAGCAGATAGTCATAACACTGACACTCAACTTCTTTAGTATTATTGACACACACACAGATCAAGATGACCTCAGCAATTCATACGTTAGCATAAATTAACAGCTGTAGCTTGATGTCTTCTCATGTTCAATGGAAAACACCAGAGAGGGCCAGACTCTAGCCTGGCACCCCTCAGCTAGAGGCAGAGAGTTGCACTCAGTCAGAACTGTGAATCTGGGGCTTTAAGTGCAGTGAGCCAATACTCAGGCTGCAACGACCCAATATAGATCACCTGCCCACACCCCATACCTTCAATGCCTTTTGTCTCCTGTTCTTCTAATTCATCTTCATTATCTGATCCATCTCCAAATTGCTTTTCATATTGTGCCTCCATCTCTTGCAACTCTCTCTCCAGATCTGACATAGTTATCCAGCTCTGCTCTTTATACTGCTCAGCAAGCCTTTAAGTAGAATAATAGAGTAACTTCTACATTGTGTCCATGAGATGGGAATTACAGAAACAGTATTATTTAAAAGGTAACTTGTTCTTCTCTGATATTTTAGGAGAAAAGTCTTAAACATGTTATGATGGAGCAAACAATTTTCCGTAGGGCTGGAATTCTGAGCAGTTAATTTGTTATGTCAGTCAGCACATCTACGCTGCAAATAAAGAGGTATTAACATAGGTGAGTCCTGCTTGAACTTCAGGCCAGAGATGCTATGCAGCATGGTCAATATCAAGCTGACAGCAGGAAAGTCAGCTCAATCCTCAAAGCAATACAGCTGCTTTTACCTGCTGCAAGATCCAAACCCACGAACAGTACAGGAGCACGAAAGCCACAAGCACACTACTCCTTGACTCTGCGCTACAGGAATGTATCAGCTTAGTTTTCCAAATCTAAGTGTGGCCCAAGTTATCAATCCATGCACTGCAGTATAGCTTAATTTTGCTCCAGTTGGCTCCTGGACTCAGAATTACCAAGCTATTTGTCGGTAAATGCATAACTTTGCTTCATTCTCCCTTTAGGAAAAAAAAATATTTATAAAAAGAAATAAATTGTACATAATCGATTCCATATATATTTTAATTATTACATGATTCTAATCAATATGCAATTATTTTGCAGGTGCACTCTTATTAAGAATTTAAGCTCCTTCCTCCCATTTGCAGGCAAAAATCTCTTCTAGTTGGAAGAATAAATTGTGCTTATACTTTGGAGATCGCCTTTTCCTTCTAATTAAGTTTGGGAAAAATAAAAGCATAAAAAAAGAAAGTCTTTAGTCCAATGAAAGGGTCCCTTCTGAAGAGTTAGAAGGAAAAGCAAAACTAAGTTTATTTTTCCCACTTTTGTTTTAGCAGGTGCATTTCCAAGGCAGATGAAGCTGATCTAAGTGCAGGTTGTCATAGTCTTGTTCTCCCTCATTCTAAACTAAAGAGAATGTATATTTTAAAGGAACATAGTAACTATTAAGTCTTACTTCCCCAGGTAAATAAAAGCACACCGGATTCTGTGCTACTCCGGCCAGTTACCTGCAGCACATAGATAACTATTCCCTGATTCCCTGGTTATCTTCGATCTCTACATGTCAGTACAATGCAGAGACACTCAAGTTTCAAAAAACTGAGACTTCAGACTAAAACTAATACATAAAATTTTCAAGGATGTTCGAAAGAGCAAGTGAAGCTACTATTAGAATCTAACTCTATATGGTATCCTTATGGATAGTTTCTCTGAGTTTAAGAGAGATTTGTTCCACATTTACATACTTGGCTTGTTTGAGCTTCTGCTGCCTCCGAAATTCCTCTGCTTTCCTAGTTTTTTCTGCATTTTGTTCTTCTACAAGTTTTCTGTGAGCCTGTACTCTTTTATCCCGTTTTCGAATAAAGGCTACTAGCTGACGGACCAGTTCATTCCTCTCTTTCCTTGCTTTATCTCTCGTTTTCTTGTTCTCTTTTTCCATAGCTCGTTTCTCCCAGCGGTTCGAGGCTTGTCGTGTGTCGTATTCTTCTTTCCAAGCAAAGTTTTTCTGAGTACAGAAACTCTGCCAATATGCATAGAATGGGTGGACTACCTGTAAGGAGAAAAAAAAAAAAATTAAACAAGTCAGTTGTTTATGGGGGGGACAAAAACCATAGCAAATAATTCAGGACATTTGTAGCAGTTTTGTGTCTTCTATACAGGTCACAGTTTTCCCTCCGAGTATAGATAAATCACATGACGGTTTAGAGAAACCCCTAAAATCATCCTTAAAATTTCAAACCATGTCAAATCAACAACCTTGTCTAAACTATTCCAAAATGCAACTTCAAATAAATATCCCCTTGCAGGATTGGATCATGCTGACATCAGTGTCCAGTTACTTAGCCTTGCCATACTTTTCCTGTTAAACTGAAAAGCACAATCAGAATCATACATGCTGTCCGCAACCAATTGCCTAAGAACCACCATACTAATGTCCTGGTTTGGCTAAAATAGGAGTATTTCTCCTTTCAGGAGTTTTTCTTTCAGTTAAGTTTCTTCTAACTAACTGCACTTTCTGAAAGTGCAGCTGTATGTTCTGCAGACACTGTCTGCTCACAGACTTGATAACGCTCCATGTTTATAGTTGCTACTGAAGTATCAGTAGGACTGGTATGCAGAAAGGCCCATGTTTATACTTATCCCTATGAGAACGAAGGCCACTGCTGGCTCTCTTAAGTGGAACAAGTGAAAAGTCATAAAAGGCTCAGACCAGCAGAAAAGTGTGGACAGAACAGGTGACCAAAAAGTGACCAACGAGGTATTCCGTCCCATCCACGTCATACTTGGTATAAAGCTCAGGGGTCACAGGGCTCAGTCTCTCTTCCTTCACGGCCAGCATCCCTGTAGGACTCTACTCATTCTCCTGCCTCCGACCCCGATCTGTGCATGCCTGAATCCGGTTCCTGTCGACTGCAGAGCCCAGTGCGGGACATCGGGGTGCCTGCCCTACCGAGGCAGAGGCATGAGCTGCCGCCACCTGCAATTACCCCACCATCATCAGGAAACTCAGTATCGGGTTTGTATGTTTTTCCTTTTATTTCCATTATTAACAGCATTAGCATTAATATCATCAGATTCTTTTTCATTATTATTGTTTTATTAAAGTAGTTTTAATCCTCCAATCCATAAGTCAAGTCTCTCTCCCTTTCCTCCAACTCTTCCCCTCCCAGAGGAGGGAGGGGTTAACAGAGAGCCCCTGCTGCCCCTGTTAAGAGCCGGCCCAGTCTTAAGTAGTGACATTAAATTACACCAAAGGTCAGCTGTACATTTCCAATGGCAGCCAAGGACCAGCACAATATGAGCAATAAAATGAACACATGTACATAACACTTTTTCTTCCCTGTATATTCTCTCTGCCTCCAGAGGAAGACAGAAATTAATAGCCCTTGATGGATTTTTCTTTCATTAATTTGTTTAATATTCCATTTATTAACCCATGTAAATTGTTGGCATACACAATAGCAAGGAGCTGTGACTTGCACGGTTTAACAAGGGGCTATGTGAAGATGCACTTACTCCTGTTTTGTAACCACATTATATGACTGCAAATTAAAATGATGCCTTCTAGCTCTCACATTAAAAGAAACAGTAAATTAACTTTCCTTATTCTCCTTCTCTTTACTATTAATGAGTAAATGCTGGATTAATAAAATGGCATAATAATTATTTTTTGTTCCATTCTCTATTCCTCTCCAAATAATTATTAATCTTCTGCATTTTGTATATTCAGGAAACAAGATATGCCTAAACTCCCTTCTTACATTACCTGCCCCATTAAGCTGCCTTTTTACCACTTACTCCTATGTACACTACTGTTTATTTTTTTTAATACCTCATAGAAGTATTTAACCTAACAGTTTAATATCTCTTCTTCTAGTATCAACTCTTCTCCTCCTCCTGCCATTGATATTGACATGGACAACTATCAATACCTCAACACTAATTTCTAATGGCCTGTCTACATGCAAAGGTTCATGGCTGTGGCCTCTGGCAGGTAAGTCACTACAGTTTTTCTCTGCTATTACAAAAACCCAAGTCTGTAACAACCAATGAATATTCATATTTAATCCAACAATCTAAGTGAGACTCGACTCCCTATCTCAGGTTTCTGCTTCAGAAGGGGATACCTTCTGTGCAAAAGGACACATGGCCATCAACTGGTGACAGGGAACATCCTTCCTTTCACCAACTGTATGAGCTAAGACCTTCCTCCTCCTCAGCAGCTACTTGAAAAACAAGCACATATCTGATACTCTCCAGAAAACTGTACAGCAGCTCTTCTGAACTCCCAGGTGAATTTTGTTTTGCCTACTACTTATATTTGGAGCTGATCGTTTTTTTCTGCATCTAATTGACCTGCAAGTCTTCTCTTCGCATGAAGCCTTGTGAAGTCACAGACTTAAGATTATCTTCCCTGACTGCCTGGCATTGCTTGAGCCATCTCTCCAGCTTCTTGTGAATTAGCTCAGTAGACTGAACAAGAGAGCATTCACATCACAGAGAAGGACTAGTGGGTGATGTGATGGTCAGTGGCCATCTTGGGCATAGTGACCACAAAATTTTAGAGTTTTCAGTGTTGGGTGAAGTAAGATGGCCACCAGCAGAACTTCCACCTTGGACTTTGGGCAGGCAGACTTTAGCCTACTTAGAAGATTGATTGCCAGAGTCCCTTGGGAGACAGTCCTGAAGGACAAAGGAGTACAGGAAGGCTGGATATGCTTTAAAAAGGAATTGCTCAATATTCAGGAACAGGCCGTCCCCATGTGTAGAAAGACCAGCCGTCAGGGAAAAAGACCGGCCTGGTTAAACAGAGAACTTAGACAGGAGATTAGGGATAAAAAGAGAATATACTGCCTCTGGAAGGGAGGTCAGGTAACTTGGGCAGAATGTAGGAATGTTGTGAGGTCACGTGGGGAGAAGATTAGAAGGGTCAAGGCTCAACTAGAACTTGATTTGGCCACTGCAGTTAAAGATAATAAAAAAAAATTCTATAAATATATTGGCAGCAAAAGGAGAGTCAAGGAGAGACTCCATCATTTGACGAATGCAGAGGCTAGTGTGGTGACAGGGAATGAAGAAAAGGCAGAAGTGCTCAATGCCTTCTTTGCCTCAATTTTCAATTGTCCTCAAGACGCTCAACCCCCAGAGCTAGAAGTTAAGGACAAGGAGCTGAGCAAAGTCCCCATAATCCAGGAGGAGATAGTTAGTGATCTGCTGTGCCAGTTAGACTCTCTTAAGTCTATAGGTCCCGATGGGATCCACCCCAGATTGAGAGAACTGGCAAAAGATCTTGCCAAACCACTCAATCACCTACCAGCAGTCCTGGTTAACTAGTGAAGTTCCAACAGACTGGAAGTTAGCAAATGTAGCACCCATCTACAAGAAGAGTTGAAGGAGGATCCACGGAACTACAGGCCTGTCAGCCTGACCTCCGTTCCGGGTAAGGTTATGGAAGGGATCACCCTGAATGCCAGTACACCAAGATGGATTTATGAAAGGAAGGTCCTGCTTGACCAATCTGAGCTCCTTCTATGACAAAGTGACCTGCTTAGTACACGAGGGAAAGGCTGTGGATGTTGTCTACCTGGATTTCAGCAAGGCCTTTGACACCGTCTCTCACAGCATCCTCCTAAATAAACTGGCAGCTCACGGCTTAGATAGGTGGACTCTTCAACGGGTAAAAAACTGTCTGGAAGGCCAGGCCCAGAGAGTTGTGGTCAAGGGAGCTAAATCCAATTGGCAGCCGCTCACCAGTGGTGCTCCCCAGGGCTCAGTGTTGGGGACAGTTCTGTTTAACATCTTCATGAGGGGAGTGAGGGCAACTTCAGTAAATTTGCAGATGGCACCAAGCTGGGTGGGAGTGTCAATCTGCTGGAGGTTACGAAGGCTCTGCAGAGGGACCTGGACAGGCTGGATCGATGGGCTGAGACCAATGTCACAAGGTTCAACAAGAACAAGTGCCAGGTCC